CTATCCCAGAACCACTCCACATTGTCGGTTAATCCCACTACTTCCATTCGCCACCCCATCTCCGCCGTGCATGCGGCTGAGCCTGCCAAAACACCCATCATTACCACCAAGAAGCCAACCGTGTCACCATCGTCTTCCGCCGCTAAGTGGACTTTGGAGAGCTGGAAGACTAAGAAGGTTTTGCAGCTTCCCGAGTACCCTGATGCAGCTGAGTTGGAGTCTGTGCTCAAGACTCTCGAGGCTTACCCTCCTTTGGTGTTTGCCGGAGAGGTCAGGAGTCTGGAGGAGCGCCTGGGGGAGGCAGCATTGGGCAAAGCCTTCCTTTTACAAGGTGGGGATTGTGCTGAGAGCTTCAAGGAGTTCAGTGCTAATTATATTCGTGACACTTTCAGAATTCTTCTTCAGATGAGTGTTGTCCTCACTTTCGGTGGCCAGATGCCTGTTGTTAAGGTAATTCTTGATTTATGGATTAATTTTATATTTTGAGTCCTGATTATTTTAGGCTAATACTTTTAGATCTATAGGAGATTTTTCAAATTTTTATTTAAAATATATAATTCAAGATTTCAATTTTACATTGTGTCTTGTTTTTAAGTGAACCAAGAAGAATAAAACAGAGAATCCTAGAATAAATTTACCCATCTAAAGTTGAAGACGAGATTGATATACTATTAGCCAAATTGCATTTTAAATTGGTAGGGCTTGAACAGTTGAACTTAGAACCTGGAAATATTAATGCCCTAGTTCTTGCCTCTTGATTTAGGCTCCTTTGGCTAATTGTGTTGGCCTTTAAAAAGCTGAATCTTGTCCACTTTCTAGTCCAGTCCTGTCCTATCCCATTTTTGTTAAATTTATTGGAATCGGGTTTTTCTGATGTTAAATTGTTGGATTATTTACTTTAGGTGGGAAGAATGGCTGGTCAGTTTGCCAAGCCAAGATCAGAACCATTTGAGGAGAAGGACGGAGTAAAGCTGCCTAGTTACAAGGGAGACAACATAAATGGTGATACCTTTGATGAGAAATCGAGAATTCCAGACCCTCATAGGATGATAAGAGCCTATTCCCAGGCTGCATCGACCCTCAACCTTCTCCGAGCCTTTGCTACTGGAGGTTATGCGGCTATGCAGAGAGTGACTCAATGGAATCTTGATTTTGTTGAGCACAGTGAGCAGGGAGACAGGTGGGTTTCATTAAATAAGAAAATTTGCTCGGAACAATTTCCTATATGTAGTTTATTAGGGTCTCAGGTTTTCAGCTAAATCAGACCATTTAATATTCTTTGTTTCATCAGGTATCAGGAACTGGCTCACAGAGTTGATGAGGCCTTGGGGTTCATGGAGGCTGCTGGACTTACCGTTGACCACCCTGTTATGTCAACAACTGAATTCTGGACTTCCCATGAGTGCCTGCTATTACCTTACGAGCAATCACTCACTAGGAAGGATTCAACTTCTGGACTCTATTATGGTTGCTCGGCTCACATGCTTTGGGTTGGTGAACGCACCAGGCAACTAGATGGCGGCCATGTTGAATTTTTGAGAGGAGTTGCTAACCCACTCGGTATAAAGGTATATATCTTTCTTATAAAAGAAAAGGGCTAAATCATTTTAAGAAATATCAGTATTACCTTGTTATTACATGTGTTGGACTTATGCGATACCTCAATTAAAGTAATTGAACAGAATGGTCCATAGAACATGGCATCTCTCTTTATTGATATTTGCAAGTTTCCGATTGGTGGAATCTACCTAGGACTTCAATGTGCCCTACTCAGCCTGTGACTGAAACTAGTTTTAGGAGAAAAAAATTCATTGATTATGAATTATACAAGCTAGATTTGTCTCAGGCTGAAAATTTCAAAATATAAGCAATATGTTCATTTGATTGTCCTCCAATGATCTCGGTGTCACCGTTATGGCATTAGGTGATATATTCAATTATGATAGCATTATTTCTTTATGGCTTTTGATGGTTATGATATCAACTGGCACGTGTGGTCTTCTCTTGTTAGCTTTGGAGAACGGCTGACATGATATTTCATAATTCACAGTTGTAGTCAGTTGGCTAAGATGGAATTTCTTTTGCAGGTTAGCCAAAAGATGGATCCAAATGAACTTGTTAATCTGATCGAGATCCTGAATCCCATTAACAAGCCTGGAAGAATAACAGTCATAGTCAGAATGGGTGCTGAGAACATGAGAGTCAAGCTTCCTCACTTGATCAGGGCTGTTCGCAGAGCAGGACAAATTGTGACTTGGGTCTGTGACCCAATGCACGGGAACACTATCAAGGCACCTTGTGGGCTCAAAACACGTGCTTTCGATTCAATCTTGGTATAGTCTCTTTTCTCGATTTCTTGCAACGGCTTCAATGCCATCTTGATTGCTAATCCTGATTTGGAAGTTGATTTGCTTGAACTATCTGGACTTAATGCATCATGTTTTTTTTTTTTTTGAAAATGTTATTAGAATCTTATTAAATCATAAATATAGTCACACCAAACCCGTCCAGATCACGCAAAAGAAGAAAAATCAACACACCCTAAATCTTTTGAAGGGTCTTGCAACACTTTTACTTTTAAGCTAAATTAGCCATGCTAGATACAAAAGCTGTGAAGTTCTGGTCTTATAATATTTTGACCTTGCAAACACTAGGAATAATTTAACAATCTGAGCCATCTTTCAAGCATACTCAGTTGTGGATCCAAAACTTAAAACTATTGCATCTAGTGGAAATTTTTGATGGTAGGTGAACAGCATAATTGTTAAGCTGCAGTTAATTATTAGGACTGCAGCACTTCTAATTCATTGGACATCACGTTAATGTCACATGTTGCGTCTAATTATATATTTACTATTGTCCAAGGATCTTTCAAGCATATGCTTAGTTTGTCCAAATCTTATATTATTGCATGTCCTTAGTTCTGAGTATCTTTTCAGTATACCATGTTGATGAAAGGTAAACAAAAGAAGTATCAGAGTACAGGTTAATTACTTAATCCCGAATTCCTGATTAATGGGATATATAGCGCATGGATGGACAAGAAATTCGTTTTTAATGTGTTGGCACGTGCTTATGTGTTCAACTAAATTACAACACTGTAATGACGGTTGTAATAACGTATGCTGCATGTGTTTATTTTGTAGGCCGAGGTGAGAGCTTTCTTCGATGTGCATGAGCAGGAAGGCAGCTACCCCGGTGGAATTCATTTGGAAATGACCGGGCAGAATGTGACAGAATGTATTGGAGGATCAAGAAATGTGACTTACGATGATTTAAGTTCTCGCTACCACACACATTGTGATGCAAGCCTAAATGCTTCTCAGTCTCTTGAACTCGCCTTCATCATTGCTGAGAAATTAAGGAAAAANACACATTGTGATCCAAGACTAAATGCTTCTCAGTCTCTTGAACTCGCCTTCATCATTGCTGAGAAATTAAGGAAAAAGAGGATGGCATCTCAACGTCTCCCCTCTCTCAGCCTGTAGGCAGCTTTATGATCTATTAAGCATTTCTAATTAGCCGATAATACCTATAAGTTTTCAAGGTTATTCCCAATAATCCATCTTCTGGCCAAATATCACACCATATGGGAGAACAAAAGAGGTAAACTTGACAGTTGAAATTTATGTTGCGTTCTTACAGTTGTAACTTTTGAGTTACCTTTGACTGGAAGTGGCAAAGAGAAATCTGGGACTGTATTTTGTGGAGAATAATGAACTTCTGTATCGAAATTTGTCATATTAATGTTTTTGTTTGAACGCATTTTCTTTCAGATCTATTTTGTTAATCTTTTGTGAATATGGTTCGACTTTCGAGCCGTATAAGGTACCGGATCACTTATTCCATCTATGGATGATGAGTTACTCTTTTGGACTGTAAATTTAAATTTAAAGAAAAAAAGAAGGATGCTATACGTACAGGGCTTTTTTCTAAAAAATAATATTCAGTAGAAAACTAAAATATAAATGATTACGTGTATGACTCCACTCTTGATCCGTTTAAGGTACCATATCACTTTTTCTGGATATGTTCGATAGAGATTAAAATCAAATTAAAATTGAAAAATTAATCGTTATTGTTGACTTTTATTAGATGAGTGGATCAAATAATGGCTATATTTTCAATTTTAATTGGATTTTAAGAACGACCGAACATGTTCTCAATCGACAGACAATAAATTCAAATAAAATACTATTCAGTAGAAAAATGAAATATAAATGATTAGGTTCAAGACTTGGGATGTGACATAAATTAAAAACACTCAATATCATAGGAATAAACTTGCGAAAATATTTTTAGTTTTCTCTACATTTTCTCTTCAAAACAAATCAAATCAAGTGTTTTTTTACTTTCACGCTTCCTTATATTTTTATATCTCTATTATTAAACACTATATTGATTTGTATCATTTGCCTCGAGATTTCAGTTGTTTTGAAGTTAAATTTGACTCTAAAGTTATGTCAAGATTTATATTTTAGCAAAAAGGGTCTACTAGCACAAGTGCAAAAAGGGTATACTAGCTGATAAGGGTGTATTCTACACGTCTATATCGACTCATAAATATGGATATTTGTCGGTTTATTCGTGAAACATAGCTTAATTCGTTGTAAATTATATTGCAGGTCAATAGTGATGAATATGGTGGAAAGTGGAAGAAATATGGAGAAAAAGGTCCAAAAATGAAGAATATCAAAGTTTAGGGACTAAGTTGTAAATATTCAAAAGATGAACCGGAAGAGAAAGTGAAGAAGTGAAGAGGACACGATCAAATTGAGCATGTAACTTTTGCATTGGAACAAGAAAATTTGGAAAAAGGTCGAAAAATGGAGAAAGCAAAGTGCAAGGACCAAACCGTATGAGATAAGAAATTTCTATCTCTATGCGGGCGCATAGCATGCAAGGCTATGCGGTCGCATAGAGCCTTGCAGGGAATTCCAGTGTGGAATCTGGGTTTCCTAATTTGGCTC